GCTCTTGTGACCTAGATTTTATTCGTGATAACCAATGTTTATATTCATTGTTTGATGATGATTTAGGCAAAAATGTGACCTTTAGAGTCTTAACGAACAAATGTTGACGGCCGACAGACGACAGACGACGGACATTCAACGATCGTAAAAGCTCACCTTGAGCAAGCTCGTTGAGCTAAAAATATTTTGCATAAATGTGTTTGACATAATGACGTTTCGCGCAGGAATTAGATCCCTACCTCAAAGGTCAAGGTCACAATGTTTTATTTCAATTTTTAAAGAAGGCCAAGATCACTCTCCTTACCCATCGAACTCATTCGACAATCACCCTGAGCAATTTTATAACAATTAAGTAAAAAATGTGACCACTTGAGTGTTAACAAGGTTTTTTCATATTTGGACAATGTGGCCTATTTTGTTACCCCGGTTGACCGATTTTCAATCATGACCTAAAAATCATCAAAACAAACTTGCATACCAATTTCAAGGATATTTGGATAACAACATTTGCCACTAGAGAGTTAAAAAGATTGTTCTATTTTTAGCTCCTGTGACCTTGTTTTTCATCAGAGATTACCCATGTTTAAAAACATCTGAGCAATAAACTAGGTAAGCCTCCCGACAAACTTGATGACAATTGAGTCAAAAATGTGAACACTTGAGTGCTAACAATGTTTTTCAATATTTGGACAATCTGACCTTTTTTTGACCCCAGGTGACCGATATTCAAACTTCACATAGAAATCATCAAAACAAACTTCCAGACTAATTTCATGAATATTTGGATAAATACAGTAGCCACTAGAGTGATAACAAGATTTTTTCAATTTTTAGTTCCTGTTTCCCATTTGTTCATCCGAGATAAAACATGTTCAAAATTGTTCGAGCAATAACATAGTCAAGCAAACTGAAAAGGTTTGATGATAATTGAGGTAAAAATGTGATTTATAGAGTGTTAAAAAGGATTTTCTGAAGGTGACAAATATTTGAACTTGACCTAAAATATTTGATTTAAAACAGTAACCAGTAGAGTGTTAACACTTTTTTTAGCTACTTTGTGTGACATTGTTATTCATCCAAACCATATCTGACCGGTGTGATGTAGTTTTTGACCCCATATGACCTAGTTTTTCATTTTGACCAAGATATTCCATGTTCGAACTCATCCGTGCAATTACCTAGATAAGGATACTGACAAGGTTTGATGCTGATGGAGGTAAAAATATTACCAATACAGTATTAACGAACAAATGTGGACGGACAACGGACGACAGACGACGGACGTTCAACGATCCTCAAAGCTCACCTTAAGCTAGCTCAGGTGAGCTACAAGTACACAAGTTAACAATTCAGTTATTATCCCCCGCCGAAAAAGTTCGGCGGGGGATATAGAAATAGTCTCCGTCCGTCCGTCCGACCTTCCGTCCGTCCGTCCGTCCGTCCTTCCGTCCGACATTTTTGTCCGGAGCATATCTCTAAAAGTATTTGAGTTATCAACTTGAAACTTCATAGGTGGATAGACCTCATTGAGGAGGAGTGCAGTGCACAAGAATGATAACTATACCCTGCATAATTTTTGAGTTATTGCCCTTTGTTATTTTTCAAAATTGATTTTTGTCCAGAGCATAACTCCAAAAGCCTATGAGATATCAACATGAAACTTCATAGGTTCATAGATCTCACTCAGGAGGTGTGCAGTGCACAAGAATGATAACTCTACCTTTCATAATTTTTGAGTTATTGCCCTTTGTTATTTTTTTACTTAATTTTTCACCTAAGTGAAGCATAACTCAAAAAGTGTTTGAGATATCAACATGAAATGTCATAGGTGGATAGATCTTATTGAGGAGGAATGTTGTGCGCAAGACTGATAACTCTTCCCTGTACAATTTTTGAGTTATTGCCCTTTGTTCTTTTTCATACTATTTTGTCCAGAGTTTATCTCAAAAAGTATTTGAGATATCAACTTGAAACTTCATAGGTGGATGGATCTCATTAAGGAGGAGTGCAGTGCATAAGAATGATAACTCTACCCTGCATAAATGTTTAGTTATTGCCCTTTTTTTATTTTCCAAAATAATTTTTGTCCAGAGCATAACTCAAAAGGCCTTTGAGATATCATTATGAAACTTCATAGGTACATAGCTTTAATTCAGGAGGTGTGCCGGGCACAAGAATGATAACTCTACCTTTTATAATTTTTGAGTTATTGCCCTTTGTTATTTTTCATACTTAATTTTTCAATTCAATTTTTTCTCAAAAAGTATTCGAGGTATCAACTTGAAACTTCATAGGTGGATAGATTTTACTGAGGAGGGATGCAGCACACTAGAATGATAACCTACCCTGCATTATTTTTCAGTAATTGCCCTTTGTTATATTCAGCCATCAGTATTCACATAGGTTTCAAATTTGTAATCACTATAGCCATCTGTTTTCATTACCAAAAGACCTCCTAAAATGGAATTATTCTGCTCTACTATTTGTACATTCTTCCAAACACATTCGGCGGGGGATGGCCATGTTGACATGGCTCTTGTTTCTGGACGGTTTCTATAATAATTTTGCATGAATTTGTTGGACATAATGACAGTGTGTCGCAAGCATGAATCAAGTCAATTGTATGAATGTTTTAATTAAAGTACATGGATAATTGTGTCCAGACAACAATTCTGCAGTTCATGACGGATATTAAAATAATGTGTAAAACATCAGGATGATGTGTCGTTCAAATGGTTCAGGTATTCAGTTCAAGGTCAACCTCGTACATTATGTCGGACTTGACGAGTGTGAATAGATTGTAAATTCTTTTGTGCATCGCTTTGTCTTTCAAGCATAAACAAAATTGAGCTCAGCAGTCCATAGATCAAGGGCATACTTTAATGTCAAAAGTTATGATATGGCAGTGCATTGCATGTCATGTCCATTCCATCGTTTTTGTCATTCAGTGACAAACTTTGTATAACTTGATTTAAACATATGGATATTTAAACAATTTCCAATAAGTTTTGTTGCTTAAGATCAAGGTCACGCTAGTAGTTATAAGTTTTATAGTTTGATAAAAGCACATCTGTTCATAATAATGTCATCCAAGAATGAATTTTGAAATAACCAGGCATTTTCTTGTGGTACATTAGAAAAACGTCTAACATTCATATGACAGTTCGACAGTTTAAAGTTGATAGCTATTCAATGTAAAAATGCAACATTTATTGTTGGGTCTAAACATAAATTTGTTATTCATTCACGGACGCTTTTGAAAATAATTGCGCTCACTTGTAATATGTTATCAATTAATCGTTAATGCTTGTTTGTATTTTATTTTTCTAGTTACCATGCCTTTGATGCAAGTCAAGGTCTTGGTTCGGTTCCTCTACTGGGCCCTGGTTTTTTTTTATATTAATCAATGTAAACACGGTTCTGTTATATATCAGTACAGTTTGAAAGTGAACAAAATACAATGGGTTAGTAAAAACAAAGAAAAAGGGCCAAACTATGCGATAACTTCAAATGTTATTAAACATAAGGCCGTGAGTCAGTCATCTTAACTTTATGATATATACTTTAACATATATAATAATTAAGTACATTGAAAGGCTGATACGACTAAATCTTTTTGAGTGAGCAGTAATTTAACTTTTTGATGAGCAAAGCAATATAATCAGTATGATAATACTATAATATGAGAAAAATAAGTTAAAATATTTATTAACAAGAAGTACCTCTACAAAAGATACTTGACCGATAAAAAAGTTGTTTTTTTTAGCAAAAATATGGGATTTACAACTGTTAGCATTCCTGTTAATTGATGTTATAATGACTGTAATTACTTGTTAAAATCACAGCTGTGTTTGTAAACAGTTATCAGGGCTATCAGTAGTGTTTGTCAAATAATTTGTAGTAAGGCAAAGGGAAACAGAGTCCAAAACAACAACATTGAAAATGTTGCAGGTATAAGTTGATGTATGAGACGAAGAGCAGAACTCTGGTAAGACCTTCTTCGGATGATGGTCAAGGTCACACAAAGTCATTTTATATCAATTTCAAAATTACCTGTCCGCTCTGTATCTTTTCTACCGGTGGACGAAAATCTAAACTCCTTGGCAAAAATGTTTATCATGGTGAGACGATGTGCTGATCGCAAATTTGACCTTCCTATGGTCAAAGACAAGGTTTCACTTAGACATTTTGTATGAAGCTCAATATTTCTTGTTCTGTCTGTATCTTTGAACCAATGAACAGACAAAGACAGACATTAAAACTATTTGGCACAAAAATTATTTGTAATGAGACGACGTTCACAACCTAGATTTGAATTTACCAAGGTGAAAATTGGGCCAGTGTCGGGGACATTTAATTTATATAGGCGTAATATAGGAAAACACTTTTAAGTCGTATTATGAGAAACTACGATGCCAAGAGCTTAGTTATTTGGCATATACTATGCCTTGTGCATCACTATAATAAGTTGCCCTGCACAGGGGATCACTTGATTAATACATTTATACATGTATATGAATTACCTTTTAGTCTTATTCTGTAAAATAAAATGCCTTAAGCTTATAGTGTATAACGCTATATATCTGATGCAAACATTATTGTTTGGATTTTAAAAAAAAGAATATTTCTCAAATGCTTGAATGAAATAAAAATGGGTATAGTATAAATTGCCTATAAGCGAGTGGCGCAAAGTCATTGCTAATCGGATAAAAACCTTTTTAAAATAGCAAAATAATATTTTGTCCCGGAACATTTAATTCTTTTCACGTAAAATTCATGTAACCGAGTCTGCAATTTTCATGTAATTTTGTTGCTTTAAATACTTCCGAGGAATTACTTTCTTTCCAGATTGATGTATTAATTTCAAAATGTCATGTCCGCTCTGTTTCTTTTAAACCGAAAGAAAGAAATTTATTGTGTGTCAAAAATATAACTTAAAAATGAAACATTATGAAGAACACAGATTTCAGCTTCCTGAGACCATAATTCCCCCATTAAATTAAGTTTGGCACAACAAATATAATTTGTATACAATTGATATATATGATGATTCAGTATAATTTTGTCGTTTCAACACAAATAGGTAGTGACCCTTTTACAGTCGCATATATCACTGCATGTCTGTTATTGGTTTGTCTTTGTTGTACACATTGTGTAGACTAACCGAATTGTAAACAAGAACAACATATTACTTTGTTTTTATTCATTTTCAATTTCATAAATTTTACACAATTTGTATAAGTATTAAAATTAAAATTTCAAAAACACACTACATATCACTATAGATAAGAGCACACAATCTGATAAACGTTAGTTTATGCCAATTATAAAGACATGACATTTGAATTAGTTCTAACATGAATGATAACAATTGAAATGAAAGAAAAAAAGTTTCTAAGTCATTTGTATTTAATATTTTATTGGAACCAAGAACATCAGCAAATAATAAATCAGACTGTGATTATAGTTATTTGGGAATTTTAATGTACATCACTGCTCATCAAAATAGGTATAAATTACAGAAAAAAAACGATTGGCCACTTTCCAAACATCACACATGAGAGTAAATTATGAGATAAATACATGTAAATGCAGAACAATTGGCCAATTTTGAGTTGTAAGAACAATTGATTTTATTTTAATCTTTGAAAAAAGTGACAACGAAAGAAAAATGTCGCTTAGCATGAATAACAATGAAAAGTAATATATTAAAATCACTAATAAATTAGTTAATTAACTGTGATTTTTATTATGTTTATCAGTTCATAAGAAAATCAGTACAGTTATTGTAACAATTACGGATTATATTTTCCAGAGAAGGAATTTCTGTAATAGACACCTTGGGCAAGGACGGTTGAAGAATATGACCATGTGTTCCATTTGACAAACACTTTGTCACCTTTTTTAGCCTGTACAATCGCCTGTGCCGATGGACACTCATAACCTCTGTAACTATAAGCATATGCTGTTGCGAAAACTTGTGTTCCTGCCACTATCTCAAAATGCATACTATGACCCGAATAAATACACATCTGTGCGAAAAAGGTATATAATCCATCTTTCGGTGCAGTGAAGATACCATTGACCTTGTTATATGCCCCTCCTTCATTTGTTAGTACTTTAGAAAAAATCATAGTTTGCCCTATCGCTGGACTGCAGTCAGTTACATAGTAGGCATTAAAAGCAACACTTGAACCATGCGCTGAAAAAATAAACACAACTATTTCAAATGATTGTACTAATTGATTGATATAACGTTTTACTTACAATCACGTCAAAATGTTTGTTAATTTTTTAAGATAGGAAAAAAAAAGCAAATAAAATGTAAATAAAGTATATAATTCTTAAAGTGTCTACCAATAAGAAAAAAGATGTTTGGCATAAATTTGCACAAAGTAAAAACAGAGAAATATTCAGCATTTTCAATCAAATGTTCAATTTGAATAAAACAAATAAATTAAATATGTTCAAGTATGACACATGATTAATGTATGTGATAAGACATAATGCTCATGAGTTGAAACAAAAAGTATCTTACGACAGTCAGTATTGTTGCAGGTGTCTTGTTGCACGGGATCACCAACACATGATCTTCCATGAATTCCTGGTTTTGGATTTGTGCATGACCTTGACCTGATTCTTACTCCCCTTCCACAAGATACGCTACAGCTGTTCCATTTGTTCCATACTGACCATCCTCCGTTAGAGTCTTTTATAGAAATAAACAATAATATGTATCAATCATTTTATAGTCGTATAGATGTTTTCACACAATAGTAACCATTTCCGCATTATAAACAATTGCTTATGACGGAAAACCACTTTTTTAAATACTGCTTACTGCATAATATACGTTAAAGATATCACCAATCAAATACATCCTTTACTTTTCACTTATTTACAATAATCATGTAGATATGAATATCATGATTGCTGTCTTATTACATATATCTAAATAAGCCATATATATATTTACACAAAAATTATCCATGTCTTACAAATGCATTAATTTATCTACAATATATCACTTTCTTGTGTACTACGATTGATCTCTCCTTCCTGGTGCTAATATGATGAAACACAAATAATTCATCAATTAAAAAATATAAATGTATCAAGAAGAGTGAATGAAGAAAAAAGTAGTTCACACATAAATTTATACATACACACATGTTGTCGTAAAACGTGAACATATTACGGAGGAGTTTAATATTTTGTCATCTATTTTTAGCTTTAATCTAGTCGTAATATATACCCACACAAAAGGCAATATTTGACTTTTATAGAGTCAAACCGACAATCTGAAATGGTGTTGACTGACTGCATTTTCGTCTTACATATGCATACAAATATGTGTATATGTATGTATATTGTATAAGGAGCGCAAATGTTCTCAATTACATCTAAGATAATATTTATCATACTGAACATTTGTAACGTTGCTTTTCATTGGATTATCGTGACGTTAATATGGTTTCTTTTAATAAAAAGGAAGTTTGCTGTATTATAAATTCGTAAGAGATATTCCTGACAGGTTAAATGACCGAATATAAACGATTGTTTGAAATATTACAAAAACCTCACATAGCAGTTGCAAAAGAATAGATAGCAAAGAGGAAAAAGAGAGGTAAAGTATTGATTAAGTCAAATTATAAGCGAAGGCATTTGTATGCAGATGGAATGTTATAAAATATGGACGGTTGGAGGGATAACCGTTTATAACGAAATTGATAAATTGTCGACCAGTTAAAATAAATGAGAACCCCAGAAAGAGTATTTATCGATGTTTAAAGTACTATATCCCTACGAGATACACCTTATTAACATGAGATCAAAACATTTGTTCATCCCGCAATCAGCATGTTCAATTTAAAGTAATTCTTATTTCTTTTCAATCATTTTATCATGTACCATCCGATACTTTATGTTAATGGCCTTTTAATCTTAAGAGGTGTCGGTGTGACTTAAAACCAAACCAAGAAATTCGATGACTTTGTATGCTATTATGTTTGAATGTCAGAGAGCGGGAGAGAGAGGGAGAGATAGAGACAATTTAGCATAATTGCATACTAACCTGACGTCTATCTAAGACCATTGATTTATAACCACAATAACTAGTAAATTTGCTTTTTAACATCATCCTATTTACATACATTACCATAGAAATTCTTTATGCCATTGAAGCCGCAGATAATTTAAGTAATTACGTGCAAAACATAAATAATGACGTTATATACGAACTTTTTTCTACATGCAATTAATAACATAAGGGATGTTTAAGCATTATGTTTATTATGAAGATGTACATACCATCACATGGTTTTTGCTTGCATAGTTTGACATCCATGGATTCACCAAAGCAATGGTTGCCATGTCGTAGAGGAGAAGGGTTAGTACATGTACGGTGTCTCTTCTGTATACCTATATCGCATGTTACAGGGCATGACTCCCAACTTGACCATCCCGCCCAGCCTCCATGAACTGAAATGGGATCATTTTAACATTTTACAAGAACAAAGTATGCAGCAGACAACATATCATATATTTTAAATTTCCTGCTAATACCACATTGTACAATCACATTTGTGCTGCTCAGACCAATCAAAGATATATTAATGGAACTATATCAATTATACAAAAGAAAATTACGATTGTTACCTGGAAATTTATAGAAGCAAAGCATCATTTTTCTAATGCAAGACATTATATTGCTTATTGAAATGTATGTATATTTTTCATTATGTATGTTTTTTTCTGAATTAATTGTATCTAATTTCATCATAATGTTTAAATCAATAAAAAATCATTTGTTGGGTGTATTTAATTTCATATTCACAAAACGTTCTCAATGTGGTCGAAACTTGAAAATTCAAATAATCAATTAACTTATATTTTTTACCTGGACATAATGGCCGAGTACAAGGTTTTGTGTCCGTGTTGGTTCCATTACAATCCAGACCTTTGTATGCAGGTGCAGGGTTGGTGCACGTTCTGATTCGTGTGTGTTTTCCATGACCGCATGTGACGTCACATGATGACCACGATGACCAGTCGGCCCAGTTGCCGTCAACTTAAAATAGATAAAAAATAACAGCACTTGTAAACGTGTCCAAACGACAATCAAACTAAAAGACGTTTTAGGGAGTTTTAATATAGACAAATGGGCTTTAAAACTGTTCAATATAATTTCTTTAAATTTGATATGTTGTTAGAATATGATAACAGAAAGATGTTGGGTGTTCTCATATTCGAGTTATCTACCCTTGATTTGGACTTTTTGCTTATTCAAGGGCAGATAATTTACAATGAAGGGGAACAATACCTTATTGATTCCTTATCTGCATGAAGCTTACCTTAGTTTTAGTCAATATAAAAAATTTCAAAACGAATTAAGAGTGGATATTTTTTCCACTTCTTCTCTTAACCTGTGCTTTTTTCCTAAAACAGCTGGCCTACTTTTTACGAATTTTAAGTACCTTTATTTTTATTGAAAAAAAACAACAAATAAACAGAAATAATATAAGGAATTGCATTTCGATTTTCTGAGCACTTTATTAGAAAAACAGAAAAATCATAGTTACCTAGATCACACAATTTGCAGAATTTACGACAGTGTAACTTAGCTTTATGGATATCTTCACAGATGTCAAAATCTTTGTTCCAGAATGCGCAGTTTTCCATATTATCGCTGCAAGGGGGCGCTTTAATTAAAATTAAATATTAAAGACGTTATTATTGTGAGTGAGCGAGCGAACGAGTGAGTGAGTAAGAAATCTTCTCCTCTTAAAGAAAAAATCAATCGTTCACAGTAAGTTAAGGCAATAGAACTTTATTTGTCATCTGGAAAGACATTTCTATATACATTTACAAGAGCGTGTTCGTCTATTCTCAGCGCTTAGTAGTAAAAAATGGTATAAAAGTGTTAAAAATATTAATACAGTAATCTCCACCTGTAGAAATTTAGAGATTTTGATAGTGAACAAGTGTGCAAAATCTCAAAGCCATATGTTGATGGATTATTTGAGGTGATACATAATCTTTAACATTAATTTCAAGTTTAAAATGGGGCATAATTTTGTCAAAATATTTGATAGAGTTACCTCCTCCTGTGTACAGATTAGGGTATACAAGTTTGCGAAGTTTCAGAGTCATATGTCAACGGACTTTAAAACTATTTGAGGTTGTATGCAATCTTTAACATAAGTGGTTATGCCGACGCCGATGCTCGGGCATCTAGGAAAGCTATCTTTATTCTTTGAATACTCAAGCTAAAATCGTATAAACTATCAGTATTCCAATTTTTAAAATTTACTGCTAGCGGATGAATAAGGCTACTAACGGGTTTTGTGGTTGCATAGATCTTTGTTACATTGATCAACACCGCAGCATTCTTCACATTCTTGTATCAGTTGACCACTGCTCAACTTTGACACGTTAGTGTATACTGGTATGCTACCGCAATTCTGTAAAAATGGAGATGGTGAATGTGAATAATTGTGTTCATTGTAAAAACATTTATTTGAAAAAAATAAAACACTGTTTTTGCCATTTTCACTGATGATACGAGTAAATGCAATGTCAATATTTTTGCACATAAATGGCGGTTTTAAAATTTTCACATCAAAACATATCATTAATGCACAAGTCTATGCTTGAATATATGTCATTTGCGGAAATATTTTCATTACAGATAATATAATGGCTTTCGAATGTAGGTTTGACAATGCGTATAATAATTATGCTCAGCTTAAACGTTTTAGGCAAACAATATTAAATCATGTTGTTTCTAGAATTGTATGACAAATTGTTTGTTCTACACGTTTTTTTTCTTTTTCTCGGAACAAAGTAAAAAAATATCAGAAATATTTTGACTTATTTGAACTTAAAGCAATATTACTAAATCAAAGCTATCTTATTCTTTAATCTGTTTTTATATAAACTAATAAGATACTTTATGAGTCCTTAAATGTTGAAAAAGGAGCATGTGTTTATTTTTATTAGAAGTACTAAAATATTAAAAAGGGAACAAATGTATCTTACCTTATTTTGTGTACATCCGAGTGTGAATGAGGCAGATTGTCCTCTCTTTTGTAAACGTTTGAAACATGACTGAAGGTAAATTTTAACAAGAAATAACAAAACAAATGTACAAAATGTAAAT